AAACCGGTTATCTCACTACTTTCTAATGGCCAAGTTATTCAATTAAAGGTTCTAAGGTTCGTTAGTGCTTCATGACATCACTCAGTGGCCCTGTATTCTCCTTAATTCTCCATAAGGGATACCGGTACCCACAAATATGTCACACTAACATAGCTATTGTCTCAACCATATCGGCCTACGTCGTACAGTCTCCATAATTTTTGCTATTTACCTAATGGTGTTCCCAAATCTGGGTAGAGGATCAATACAAACCCAAACAAGGACCCAAAAAATTTAAAGAAAACAAATCAAACAATGAAAGCAAGTAAATATGATCTAACTCTAAGGTAACCCCACTTTTAAATACTCTCCAACAGAGTCGCCAGTTCTATAATATGGTGGGAGAACTGACTTGGTTATTTTGCGTTTGATCGCAATTGTTGTGGATAGCAAGAGTCGCCATCGACTTTTCTTTTATCTAATAAGGAAAGGGTGAAAAGAACAGGAAAGACCTTTGAGATATTTTCTTGAGTTTGGGGGGTAGATTATGAAAAGGGAAGGTGTTAGTACCCTTTTCATCCATAGTTGTCTATGGGCTCTTAGTTGCTTGCTAGATCACTTTTAAAATTGCTTTGTTTGAAATGTGTTCGTGGTAGATTTTGAAAGTATTTTTGAAAAGCGCCTTCGTTTAGGAAAACTTTGTAATGATTATCCTCTCTATAAGAATGCATACAAAGTGCTGGACTTTTGAAAATATTTCATGTTTTTGAAAGTGTTTGGTGTATTTGAAAAGATGTTTGTTTTTGAAGATGGATTGTGAGCAAGAAACTAAGAATGTTCTACCTACTCAAAAGTCTTTTGTTCATTTATCTCTTCCTTTGATATTGCTATCTCACCATTGATTGGTAAGTAGCTTTATCTTTGGATGTAAACGGACGGGCGTGGATCATCGTATAGTCATGAATGGCAATGTTGTGAAATATTTTAGCATTTCTCTTGAGGGACTAAGATCATATATAAGGCAACATTCGTAGCATCATCGAGGAACTATGATCTTGTATTTTGATTGTTTTTGCTAAGATGTCTCACATGCATATCATGACCATTTTCTCAAGGCAACAAAGTAGAGTTAATCCTAGAGGTGTAAGTACGCAAGTGTTTATATTTCATGCTTGATTTATCTTGGGTTAGGGTTTTCTAGTCATTGATTTTATCTTTTCATACAAACCCTAACTTACTAGCATTTATATGAAAGCGATAAATTGCGGAAAATAAATATTTTACGCTATTACATCAATTGGGTATGTGGTGTACAAATATACAAATGGGGATTGCAATAATTGAACCCTAATTATCTATTACAATCATATTAAATATTTACAAGAATTAAATGTACAAGAATGAATAAATGTGCAAGGATATGAATGGAAAAAGAAATAGATTTTTGTTTGAATTTTTAAAGAAAATATTTTGACCTAATTAACTATAAGAAAATAATTAAGTAAATTAAGAAAAATTGAATCTAAGTTAATTAAGAAAAAAAAAATTAATCAAGAAAATATTCTTTAGGCTTTTTATGAAAAGGGTTTTATATTAATTAAACTAGTATAGAAAAAAATTAATTGAGTTTCCAAGTTCTAAACTAATTTTAATTTAGAAGAGAAAAATAAATCTAAGTCTAAATATTCATTTATATTTACAAGAGAAATTAATTTGAATAGAACATATTTTTGGTCTTTTTTATTTAGAAAAAAAAAATTTAGTATATTAAATATATAAATAAATAAATAAAATATTTTTGGGATTTTATATTATAATAATAATAATAATAATAATAATAATATTAATAATATTTAAGAAAACCAAATAAAAATAAAATATAAAATAAAAGTCAGGGGGTTCAAAAATGGTTTAGGGGGTTTGATAGAAAATAGTTTTTTTTTTTAGGCCCAAGACATGTTTTTTTTAGTCAGAAAGACAAAAAAAATACATATAAAAAAAATGGGCTGTATAAGTGAACAGGGGGGTTAGAGGCAGCAAAAAATGGAAAAGTCCAAAGTTTCAGGGCCAAGGCGCGCTAGCTTGTGTCAAAAAGAAAGAAACAATGAAAAAAGGGAAAAAGGGAAGCGCTGAGGCTCGAACTCAGGCCCTTAGCATAAACGTGCGCGCTCTCTACCACTGGGGTGGCTATACATTCGTTTACTTATATCAAACCATAAATATATATTTGAAAACCCTTCCTTGGCCTGAACTTCATCTTCAACCTTGCGCCAGCCAGACCATCTGCATCTTATTCATTTCTCAACTAAAATGAAAAATGTAAACATGAAACTTATGGCAAATTTTATCACGATTCCAGAAATGTAAAGCATTAAAACTATAAATCAAAAACAAGCATGAATTTTGAATGGTACCAAAATTAACCTAATTTTTCAGAAAGTTCAGGTCAAAAATTCTCCCTACTCAGGCCATATAAATGAAATTTATGGATATGTACAGTTCCAAGGCAATGATATCTACATTTTGTCTTTGAAAATGCAAGCCTAACAACGCCTAAATAATGAGATGAAAAGTCATCAAACTCACCTTGCAACTGGAGATCGTGTTTTGAATTAGAGCTTGATTCAAGTTGTTGTGATGATCAGGTTAGCTTCATCAAGTTCCTAGGAAGCTAATGCAACCCTTAGCTTGAACTATGGATGGCTGGAATGTTCTGGAGAAGTCAAGGTGCAAGCTTCAATTTTTGAAAATGGAGGATGATGAAGATGGAGTTACAGAAGTGTGGCGGGTGTGGGAATGTTTATGTAATGATGTTTAGAAGCTTTAGGAACCAAAAGGCCAAGAAACGCACGAGTAGATATGAAGATTGGATTTAAAACTCAGAAATGACAAGTTTTTAGGTGTTCTTGGTGATTCTCTGTTTTAGGGTGTTCCAGGGCTTAAGCATTCCTTCTTTAGCTTGAAAATAGTGCATGTATTTATAGGCAAGAGGTTTCAAGTTTTACAACAACTCGGAATTTGAATTCTCAAGTTGTGGCAACTTTGCTTGTTTTTTGAAGTAAACATGACAACATCTTCTCAAGGCTTATACCATGCTATCTAGAGTGGTTGCAAACTTTAAACATGTTGTTCTGACTTTGTAGAGGAAGCTTGTGCAGGAGGAACAAGTTAGAGGCTCAATGCAAGTTGACTTTATGATTAAAGTTACTTTTCAAGAAAGGCAATGTTGCTTTCTTCCAAAAATGGATGAATCTTTTGGACAATGGCTCTAATGCTTGGATCATGGCTCTAGCAATTTTGTAAACCATTAATTATGGAGTGACAAACAAGTTTGAGGCCTGCAAAGCAAAGATTATGTAGCCTAGCATGGATTTGGTTCATGTTCATCCTAAAAATCTGCCTCGTAAAACAAGAATGAAACCCTAAGTTCTTGCCTTTGATTCTCCTTTCTCATGGAGTTCTTGGACTTTTTAGAAAGCTTGGAACTATGTGAAACTTTCATGTTGGACATTTTTGAAAATTTAATTTGGAATTATGTGAAACTTGGCCAAGAAGTTAGGTCAAAAATCTGTCTAACTAGGGTAAAATTTCACCAAGTGTTTTTGTTTCATGGACATGTCTTTATGAATTTATAACTTAAAATTCAAGCATTTCTAGAAAACGTCCTGCCCTATAATGTTTTAGATCTCATTGATATCTACAACTTTTATGTTGGAAGTTTTCCTTAAATCATCTTCCATCATGGTGAAAATTTGGCACAAAGTCGTAAAAAGGGGTTAACTTTCCAACACTTAGAAAAATTTCTAAGTCTTAGAATTTTGACTTTTCAAAGATAATTTTGACTTTTTTATTTCAAAAAAAAACAATCTTCATATTTTGACATGTCTTGATGAAATATGATTTTTGAAACTTGATTTTGATCAAAAAGTCAATGTTTGACTTTTCAGTAGTGTATCAGTTGACTTTTCATTAGTTGACTGAATTTCAACTATCAATCAATTGATCTTTGGGAAATATTTTAAACCATGACATTAGTCAAAATGATGCATTTGAATCCTTTATATCATGTCTCAAACCAACAAGTCATGTGTTAGGTCAAAAGTCAAAAATTGAACCTCCTCAATCAAAACCCTATTTTGACCATTTTGCCCTTTTGATGATTTGATCAAATTTCTTGAGGAATTATGATCCAAACTTGATCAATTGTCATATATGAGTTCAAAATATTGATATGGATCAAAAATTATGAAATTTGATTGTAAATTGACCACGGTTGACTTTTCCCCCAATACAGTTGATTTTAGGTCAATTGATTGAGCAAAAATGTTATCCAAAGTTTGAAACTTGACATGAACAATATTGGAAGTCCAAAATGATCTATGAAAGTCATATGAAGCATTAAAATTCCAATTTTCCTTATACAAATTCAAACCCTAATTTTGAGTCATTAGTGCTTGAGGAGGTGTCTTGAGCTGATCAAACTTTGTGCAGTCTTGAATCAATGGAGATCTTGTGAGAGAATTCTTGAGAAATTGAGAGGGCAAATTTTAAGGTACAACAACAGCCACGGTCTCTTCTTCAACTTTGCCTTTCCATCTTCATCTTTCCATCATCAACCCATACATGAAACAAGAAAATGGAACATGTGTTAGTACAAGATAATCAAGAAACAAAACTTAAACAAGAAAACTTTCAAAGTGTTTTTTCATAATTTCATCATTAGGGTTCATTGGAAGGAATCAGAAGAATATATGGGTCATATCAATCATGTTCACAAGCCTAACAAAAGTCTCATATTGTTTTGTTTCACAACAACAAATCAGAAGTACAATGCTAATCATAGGCCCAAAACAACTCTACTACAAATCACAAAAGGCTAAAATTTTGGTTCACAATAGAGTTTAAAAGCAGCAATTTACCACACAGTAAACTCGGGAAAAATCACAATTTACAGTAAAAACAAAATGGTACAGGTTTCATTTCACACCCCAAGAAAGAATCCACTGCATTAACAAAACAAAATGCAAGTACACAAAATTCGCAGCCAAGACAAACATTTCATTTTCACCATAATAAAATCACAGTTTCACAAAAGAACCAACAATCAGAATCGGGAAATACATATTAAGCCCAATACAGAAAGTCAAGAAGGCCTGTTAAGCAAAACTCGATCCAAGAACACAAGGAAAACCCTATCTCTATCAGTATTTTAGCATTCAATTGAACAATTATCAAGAGAGAGACTGTTCACAGAAGTCGCAGAACACAAATACAAAACCTAAAATTGTTCATCATTTTACCTAGTCATAAACCCTTCAGAAATCAAGAGGAAGAGGCAATTGTTCATACTACACAGCCGCATAACTCACAAACCTTAATATACTCATCATTTTCCTTTGCTCAAGATTCCTACATAAATTAAAAAAACAAAGAGAGGCAAGAAGAATATATGAGTTCAAAGGAAGTCAGAAAGATCTCACCAGAAACCTCAAGAGGTTGATGTAAACACTTATAGATTCGGACATCATGAACTGGATTCCTTCTCCTTTCCTTTCATTTTCATTTCTTATTGTTGTATTTCTCATCATAATCATTTAATATTGTTGCATCTGAGAACTAGGGTTTCGAAAATCCCCTTTTAGATCTAAGGTTTATCATTTAATTTCTGCAAAATCAAATCATAGATTAGAGATGAGTAGAGAAAGATGATTCATAATATGCAAAAAAAATTGAGAATCGGGGCCATCCTCGATGGCGCCGCCGCGATGTTCATCATCATCGCCGTGTAGTTCATAAGTGTTATCGTTGATCTTCATACGAGCCATCACGTGTTCATACTCGTCACCGAGTTTGATCTCTCTTTCTGAGTTTCATTTTTGATTTGGTTGTTCTTTGTTGAGAGATTGAGAGAGAGAGAGAGAGTGAGAGAGAGTGTGTGTGTGTGAGAGAGATATTTGAAATATTAGAGATAAAAAAGCAAATAAATAATTATATTGCAATAAATTAGGAGAGAATCAAAATATTGTTTAATGGAAGAGAGGGGTTCTAGTATATGGGAAACATGGTAAGATTAAAGCCACGTGGCATAGTTAATTGAAAAGATCATACACGTGGCATAGTTAATTGAAAAGATCATACACGTGGCATAGAACATGTTATTTTTTTATATTTTTCTTATATTGTATACACTAATAATTAATTAGAATAATTTAGTAAAACTTCTATTCTCTTCTTTATTTAATATTTTTTAATCTGTATAAAATATTCAATTGCGATAAATAATATGAATCGAAGAGAGTAATAATTAACTTTTTTTTATATGTGTAAAAAGTCAAAATATGACAATTAAAAAGGAATAAAAAGAGTAATTATAATAAAATATTTTTCATTTTAGTTATTTAACATAATAAAGTAGATTTCAAAAAAAAAATCATTAAATCTAATCATTGACTCAAATTTATGAAAGAAGAAAAAGAGAACATACTATGTTTCCTCTTACAATCCTACCTCTAATAAAAACATTATCTTCAAAACTCCAACTGACTAAAAACTTATTTAGGATTGCTTTTTAAATTTTTTTTAAAAATGGACAAATAGATTTTGTTATCTAACACAATATATAAAAGTTAATCTAAAAAACAATCGACTAACACACATGCGAAAAGTCTAGTTGTAGTAATGACGATGGTTTTTATTCAATATACTTATCATCCTTTTATTCACAAAAATGCTTGCAGAATAATCTTCGAAAAAGAAGGTAGAATGTTTATATTTACATCTACTGAGATTTTCATAAAACAGTTCTCAGGAAGCAAAAGAGACAACTCAGAAACAATCTAAAAGAATATTAGAAGGCAACAAAACAAAGTCAGTTCAGATATGAATGCATAGAGTGAATGTGATAATTAGATTTTGTCAGTCTGCCTGTGAATATGACAAAGAGGAAATGCTTCTATGTCCACAATGTCTGCAAGTATCTAAAGTGTGCAAACTGCAAACGTTACTTACACTAATATCATATCTAATTAAGGATATGCAATGGAAATGTTAAGCAACTAATGACATTGCTGTTCATTTTATTTGGTGACCATGGCCGTTGGCAGTCACGAAAAATATCTTTTCAAGGGTTGAATAATGAAGCAAATGATTTATTAGCAAGCCAAGAGCATTCTGAAAAAACATCAATACATAAAAATCCTGTGGATATGGTCTTTATCTGTATGGCTCAACTCTAACTGGTCACTAGCATGAGAGAAAAACAGTAAAGGACATTAATTGCCTGAAAAGCGGACATCTTTTTTTGTAGAAACTCGTGTGAGAAATTCTAAAAGCTATACATGGGGAGATGCGGATTTTTTTGTAGAAATTCATGTGAGAAATTCATTGGGAGATGCGGATTTTTTATGACAGGTTTGGCACCCTAAAATTAGGAATGCGCTTCACTTCTGTGTATAAAATACAGAATTATAACCATTCACCAGAAAATTAATTATTGATATTTAAACAAAAGCAACTTGAAGATTTGTTACACATTAACGTGTATTTAATCACAATCTTAATGGTTTTCAAATAATGCTCATCCTCCCTTTCATTTTAGAGAAGACAAACCCATAACAAGCATGAAGATAAATAATATATCAAAAAATAAGGGTCAAGAATATAATACCATTCAAAGTTCGAAAAACTCACGTGAACAAGTTTCTCACTCAAAAACACCTTTCTTGAGCATTGTTATCTTGTTAAAATATTCAGTTGATCTAATGCACGTTGTATTTTATGACTTACTTCAATTTTCTGACTAATTTGCTCGCAAGACTGCAAAAAAAATCAAAGCAAATGAGGAATGATTACAACAGTTTTTGGAAAACTGAATAAGTTAACAGAACAATAAGAAAAGTGAAAGTGACAATATTTCTAAATCTTGAAAGAGCTATATCAAAGTAAGCATCATTTTGTCTGGAATATTGCAATTTTCCTTGACCAGACTTCATTTTAGCCAACTTCACTATGGCTTGACCATCTCTGGCTGACACTGACCTAGGCAATCATCAAACTATTGAAACTCTCAAGTTAGCATGCTTGCCACTCACCACACCTGGCCGCCCAACTTTCTTAAATCTAGTGATTTAGTCCATGGAATCCTTATTTACGGACGGAGGTAGTAATATTTAAGAATAGGTAGCTTCAATACCAAATCATAATTGCTCATCAATGATAAATTACCTTTAACAAATGAACTTTGTGTATGATGTTATCAATATCCTCCTTGAATTCAGACATAATTTGTTGCAATTTTCCTTGACCAAACTTCATTTTAGCCAGCTTCACTATGGCTTGACCATCTCTGGCTGACACTGACCTCGGCAATCATCAAACTATTGAAACTCTCAAGTTACCCTGCTTACCACACCTGGCCGAACTAATCGAAAAATACAAAAAATTGATGTGTTGTTATACGAACTTAATCCCTAATAGCTCGCGAGTCAGAACAAAATAATTGTAACTAAAGCATCCTAACACATTTTAACTAGGTATTTTAACCAGGTATCTCAAGCAAAACTAGCGGGATTATCATGGGTCAACTGCCAACACCATAACCAAAACGTTCTATATTTAAAGACAGAATTATAGTCTTAAAATAGCCAACTTCGCACTACTCCAATAATACAAAATCACATTTCCATGTAATCCATTTTATGGGTGCCCAGAAATATCCAGAAAGCTAGCCCATGAGAGTAGAGAAATAATATACATGGAGGATTCAATGCCAGGTGCATGTGTGTTTATGGTGTAAAAGATGCACCTTTCAAGGTGCACAATATTCCTATTAAGTTGCAGGCGTAAGCCCAAAAGAAGAGGATGATAATGTCTACTACATATAATGTGTCCACAATCACAAAATAAAAAACACCTTAATCAGCACTTGCATTTTCTTTCATGTAATGAAACACTTGCTGATAAGTACTACCTTTGTCCCTCAATATAGGACCCCCTTTAGAAATTTTCTTGTCTTTTTATAAGAGCATCTTTGATGTTCAACACCAGAAACTGGTGAAGTTTTTGTTTAGATACAAGTTTAGGTTGTGACTTGCATATAGTTCAGTATGATTCATAATGGTCATCAAATTCAAGGATCATGAGATTAAATGAGAAAGTATTTTCAAATTATCATGAAGTAAATTTTGTTTGCAACTAGCAGCTTGACGCATTATCATTGGTCTCGTAAAATGTGAATGGAAGAAACCTTGGATCATATACAATCTTGAAAGGAGGCTATAAAAAGTGAGATCCTGTAACCTTACAGTAAGCAGGAAAAGAAAACATATGCAACTATATTATTCAGACAAGTGAAAAATAAATGTTCCTGAGAATCTGCAAACCAGCGGCTGCAGCGTGGCGTGATAAGAGGGAGGAAACAACATCACATTATAGGACAATTTGGCTGAGAACCGTGGGGCATTTCTTGAGATCTGTAAAAGAAAACATTTGTATCAGCTGATATCATACATAATGTGTAGTTTGACAACTACAAGATAAAAAAAATTCTACAATAAATCACTCATTTGAGTATTTAGAAGCTTAAAGACTGAAACTATATAAAATGCACGTTTGTGCATAAGCATTTGGTTTTGAATACGCAAATAGAGATTACTGCTACAAGAAGGAACTTACAATTGGCCAAGACTGGCTAAGTCCAAATCGGGAGATAGCTCCTGGACAATATCATTTGGAGGTTGTCCACAGTCTTGCATTTTCTGCATGAGCTCAACAATCTTGGTGAAGTTTCCGGAATCTTTTTCATAGACTTGATTGAGATTCCGAATCAGCCCATATTGCTGTGAATACCGGTCGTATTCTTGTCGGCTTAAGCTGGCTTTATGATCTTCCAACCATTTAGGATACCTTGCTCCGATTTCCTTCATTGGTTCAGCAAGTATCTCCTTGGACAGAAGCTGTTGCATCATGGTCTCCACAATAGATTCCATATCCTAAAAAATGATTAAAATTATACCATCATACCATGATACTATGAGATGATTAATCTCATTTTCTAATATTAAACAATAACAGGATAGAACCATAATGAGCTTGTTACCTGAGAGCCAGCAAGTTGTTCAAACTGTTTAACCCAATCCTCCATCATACCATCTTTACCCAAATCATCAACACGGCCGGGTGGGGTTGCGAATTCGAGACCCTTAACAGCCTCTTT